ATACTCATTTATAGCATTGTACTTCAAAACTCTTCTTTGGTACTTCTTTATCCAATCTAACAACTCAGAGTCTTTTATACATACTCAACTTAGACTTTTTTATAATATCTTTGAACGAATTGACGGTTTGGTCAAATTGACCAGAAGTACTACAAATGACTACTAACTCATAGAATGGGTTCTTCTCATCTAGTTCTTGTTGTTGTGCAGCCATTTTAAGATAAGTGAAAGTCTTACCCGACCCAGTGGTGCGATAGACCTGTTATACCATTCTGAGCAAATAGGAACTTGTCATATGGGTTTTATCTGAGCATTTTCCAACTTCCTCTTGTTCTTATTTAAAAACATTCTCAAATTTTTTGTCAATGTCAGCAAACTTTTTTTCTAACATATTTTAGAAAATTAAAATTTTTATCTCTTTAGGAAATGTCTAGCGATTTCGCTATCTAATTCGAGACAAGCTTTTCGACAGCAAAACATCTGTCGACCATAAATCTTACATAGGTAAACAAGAAGGTGATTTGTTCTAAAGTTCTGTTTCTGGGAATATGACAAGAACCATAAAACCTTAAGCAGAGAAGTCTTAAAATTTGTCAATGACAGACTTGTTGACAGAGATGACGCCTCTTGGAGAGATGAAGTCCAACAAAACTTCTTAGAATGCAAAGAAGACACATGCGCTGTTCTTGAAAATGAAATAGAAAACAGAATAGAAGAGCTATTAAATGACAAAGCACTTTTACAAAAATATGGTTCTGAGAAGTTTGACATAACTCCACCAGAGAAGAAGAAGAGAGAAAAGAAAGAAAAGAAAGTAGAAGAAGAGAAGAAAGAACCAGAGCCAGAGAAGGGAGATATGACATGTAAAAATAAAATTTTATTTTTAGAACATTTCTGGGTCAATGTCAATGTTCTCTTCCTCTTTAGGAGCAAACACGGCTTAGACTCTAAAATCTTTTTACCCAATTTACCTTGAACTTCAACTATCTTAGACTCATAATATTCATAGTCGTCTGCTTTCTTTGGTTCATAAGGTATAACAAGTTTGTATGCTTTGCCTTCTTTAAGGTTTGAAAACCTTCTGTCAAAACTTTCTTTGACTGTTAACAAACCTTCTATGTCTAAGTCTTCAAATTTCGCACCATTTTTAGTCACAATAGCAAACTTAACTGGTTCGATGTTCCAAACTTTGTCAAATGTAGACTTTTCAAAATGGTAGAAGTAAACATTCAAATATGTGAATGGGTCTAGTTCTTCTTTAAGTCCTGACATGTACTTGTTGACTGAGATGAATTTTGTCATCTTTTCTATCGGATAAAAAAAATATTTTTTTAAAATTTACTCAGAAAAATTTTTCTTTGTATATACACCATTCTGTACGTCTAAAAGACTTTTGACATTTGCCAAGAATGTTCGTTTAGACGCTGTCATATAACCATATTCTTGACAATACTGTTTATACGAATCGTACAATGACCTTTCATCTAAACACTCAAAGTCAGTTTCATCTATGAACAGTTCATATACACTCTTGTTTGCTTCTAACAATGTTTGTCTCTCTTCGGTATGTGGAATTTGTCTTGGATTGAACTTAGAAATATCTAATGTCATGAAATATGAGAACAAGTGGTTGTAAAAGTCAGATGTCAAAGTTTCTGCTAAGTCGTCAAAATATTCTGTATCTTGCATATGAGCTTCTGACGTTCTGACAACTACATATCTTCTGTCAGAACTTTCTAACTTCATCGGAACGGCGTTGTTTGAAACCATGACGAAGTTTGCAACATTTTCACAAACTCTTTGGTCTTTATATTTTCTTTCAACAACTCCAACTTTGTCTGTTATAAGACTCTTCAAAGCATCTGAGTTCAAAACTTTGTTGTATCTATACTTTGAAGTTCGTTACATACTATAAGTTTCATATTCTCTATTGAAGAGTTAAATTTACCGCAGATGTTTTCTAAGTTTGTCATATTCGGGTTCGAATAGCCCTCTAACAGTTTGCATAAGATATCTGTAAAGAAAGTGTTCTTACCTGTTCCTTGTTTTCCAATTATGATGAGAGCAGTTTCATTTTTAGCACTTGGATGTTGTAAGATGTTTGCAAACCAACATAAGATATACTCATAGACTCTTTCGTTTCCATTGCATATAATTTCTTTGACATGGTCTAACCAAGCTTCTATAACATTTTCTTTCCATTCTACTTGTTCGTATTTATATCCAGTGAAGATAGAATAGAAGTTTGGAGATGGTGTATAGAACTTTATACCACGAACTGAAAAATCTTCTAACTTTGACAATAAGATATCCCAAGCATCTAACATCTTCATACCAACTTGTACGACTTTTATTTTCTTAAGTTTCTGTTTACATTCTTGTTCTGAAACTATTGTCGCTCTTGGTTTGTTAAAGACAACATCCCATTCTTTCATGACATAACATTCTGGGGCAGAGTCGACATAAATGACTAAACGTTTCAAATTCTCGACTGCTTTGTTATAGTCTCTAAATGGACACATATTTCTGAAGGCTTGGAAGTCATAAAAATCTGAAACGTCTATTCTGTACATTTTTTTATAAAAATAAAAAAAAATATTTTTTTTATTCTTGACTTTGTTGTTGCATTTGTTCCATTTGTTGCATTTGTTGTTCTTGAGCTATTTGTTGTTGAAGTTGTTCTTGTAGTACAATACTTTCACCAGTTGCATCTTCCAATTCGAAACTTTCTGCCGTCATTGACAAATACATAGGACATAAAAGTTTTACAGGAACAAAGTTTGCGTCAACTAAGGTTAAGTTTATGTTTGCTAAAGTGTTTGAGTTTACTAAAGCTGAAAACTCTGCATTCGAATGAACAATAGGCAAACCAGCAGAGAAAGTGTTGTTTATACGCATGAGTATCTTTTGGTCATAGTAGTTTCTGTCGACATTCGAATAGCACTTTGAACCTAAGTTTGAAACAATATATAAAATAGGTGTGCTTAAAGTCAATGGAACAGACATTCCTTGTATGACACCTTTTCCTGTTATAGGAAACTGTTGGTAGTAAAAACCAGATATAAGTTTTGTATTATAGCTCATATCGTTTATAGTAAACTCAGTCGGACATCCAAACATAATGAAACCTGCTCTAGTTGCAGCACATGTTACATCCGTCCTTAAAGTATTAAATAAGTCAACAAAACCTGTTGGTGGTATATCTGAGTAAGTATCTTCAAAGGAGTATTTTTTACCATTCACAACAACAAAGTCTTCTGGTGTCAAAAGAGCAAAACAGGCTTTAGTCGTCATCGTGTTTAAGGTCAGTTTACAATATCGTCCTTGAGGACTTTGTAAGTTTGTTGTTATAGAATTATATGACTCAGGGTTTTTAGTCGTAATAGTATAAACCACTATGTCTTCTGCCATTTACATATATTTAAAAGTTTTTCTGAAAGTGGAGAAGAACTTCATCTAAACTTTCACATGGCGTTTCTTGAAGTTCTCTGTCTAAGAAGTTCAAATATTTTGTAAAGACATAGAACTTTCCTTTGTCTACACGAACAAACAAAACAGGGTCTTTCATATCGTTCAAAAGTGTGTAAAGTCCTTTACATGAAATAAAGTCTATATTATTTTTCTTCAAACATCTTTCAAGAAGTTTTGACATTTTTACTTAGCAACTAAATTTTAATGAAATGTTGTGGTCGTCAAATATTTTTATGACGTCTGGGAAACTATATTTTAAGTTCAACGTTTCACCTCCTTTCATAACGTATATCTTGTCAATGACATTATATGAAACACCACAGCAAGCAATGTCGGGTTCTATTTCTTTGATGTTTATATCGTCTGCCTCTGTCAAAAGTTTCAATAGTTCTTTCAAAACTTCATGAGGTGCAATGACATATGAGTTCACTTTTACAGGGTTGTGTTCGACCAAGTTTAACATTAAACCTAAAGCTTGACAAATCTTCTCCTGAGTTTTAAGTTTGTCTTTAAGTTGTTGGTAGTCGTTTCGAATATCTGCAACAGAACTTAAGTCTCTGCTAACTTCAGGATGTTGGTTGTTCTTTTACAGGAACTATTGTTATACCATCTTCGTCTTCGTATGGTTTCCCCACTTCAACATCTCTGTCTTTGACATTGACAACAACACTTTGACTGTTTGTTTGAGTTGGTGAATTTAACTTCATCTGCCATCGCCATTAAACCTTTTGAAACACTTACGCTTCTATTTTTCGGAAATGACATTTTACTTAGAATAAAAAGATGGACGTATTTGAGTATCTCTTCGAATTGAAGCAAAACAAAGTTTACACACACAAACAATACAAGTTCATTGACAGAAGTAGTTCTTTATACAAACAATGGAAAATGTTATAGAATAGCAGTCTTTGCTGAACCAAAATATTTTCATAAAGCAAAGAAAGTTGGTATAACCGAGATGGTGAAAGTTCTTGAAGCAGACAAAAATATACAACAAAACTGACCGATATTTCTAAAGGTAAGTTTTATAATACAATTATATGTCAAAACTGGCGTACTGTCAATATTTGACGGAGAGAAGTCAGTTCAAGAACAACTTACTGACCTGCTGCCAAAATCTGCTCGATGGAAGCTGTCGTTATACCAATCTGAGGAGCCCCAGCAGGTTTCATCGAACGAATCTTCAAAAGAGCATCTTCCGTGAAAAGTGCTATTGGTTTTGTAAACTTCTTTGCTTTCAATTCATTGGACCGTCTCTGTCACCAGTATATTGTATTTGAACTGTACCAACAGTTGAAATACCACCCATAAAGTCTTCTGAGTCAGCAAATGGAATGCCAAGCCAAAAGTTTGAACGGTCTCCATTTGTATATTGAGTGTTTTGACCTCCTGTATGAGTCCATACTTTCACATATGGCATAATAGAACTTTGCATTTCAGGGTTAATGGTTGTTGTGAAGTTGTTGTTAAAGTTCATAGCATCTAATGTCAAGTTGTATGACCTCATATCCTCAACTGTAGAATATTCTTCTCTTGGATAGTATTTGCCATCTATGTTTATATGATATTTAATACCAGGGTTGTAGAAACAAGAATAGTCATTTATAGTTCGTCTGAACAGTACAAACATAGTATCTGCATGTTTCATTGCAGTTGTTAAGGCAATATCTGTTCTTGCACCTGGGTCAGCACTTTGGTTTCCAACTTCACCTGCAAAGTCTTTGACAGATATTTGGTGTATAGGGAACATAAGTGGAACTGCAATATATTTGGCAGCTAAAGCATTTGAAATATCTGGGTCCAACATATAGACTGCAAGTCTGCTTTCTATTCTCTTGCATTCAAATTTTTCGCATGTGAACTTAACTGGGTCCCAAGCAGTTCCAGCAGCATTGAAATAATAGTTTACTTCAGTGTTGAGGTTTGAGAAACCAAAGTCTAAGTCAACTTTGTCTTTGCAAAAGTCGGCGAATGACGTTTGATTTGCTCCCTTTACGTCTGTAAGAGTGAATGGGTCTTGTGTTGGTGCAATGACTAAGTTATTTTTGCTTGGAGTAAGTTCGATAGAAATTTTTCCTGCCCAGTTTGGCAAGTATCTTAAAAACCTGAAGATGAGGAAAGATGACAAAGGAACTCTAAGTTTCAATTTTACTTTGGTTACTGCTGCTGCAGTTTGTCCAGAAAGGTTAACATAAACTCCTGGAACGTTAGGGTCAAGTCTTCTTATTTTCTCAATAGTTGCATACTGGTCTGTTTGTTCTCTAGCTTGTGGTTGTACTGAGTTTCTCAAAGCGAACCATTCATAGTTTGCCCATGTTACTGTTTGAACTAAGTCAGAGTTAGAATATATCTTATATCCCATGAAAACTTCTGGAGCATATTGGTATCCGACATAGAAAATTCCATTGCAACCTTTCTTGTCAGACAACTTGGCAGAAGGTTTTATTTCAATGTCTTGTTCCACGTATAAGAAAGAGTTGTCAATAGAAATTATATGAAACCTGTCGCAAGCAATATCTACTGTTGTTGAAGAACCTTCTCCAAACTCACCTACGTTTCCATAAGAAACAGCAGTTGTATATTCGTAAGTTCCAGGAACTATTTCTGACCTTCTAATGGCATTGTCGCATTCGTTATACCATTCGGAAACATTTCCATTCATGGCATCCAAAACTGTTGGCGTTATATTCTGAGCGGCGTACATTTCATATGGGTAAAAATATAGAATAGTTGGATTTATGTGTCATAATAGAACCCACGTGGACCAAGCTTTACTTTCTTCCTGACTGAGTTTTTAACTCTTTTTTTCCTTCATTGCCACTACTTTCACTAGATGAAGTTACTTCTTCACTACTTTCACTTTGTTCTACTCTTCTCTTTGGTGTCGCTTTTGGTAACTTGCCCTCTGCTTCAAGTTGTTGCATCTTTGCCTCATGTTCACCTAGTATGTTGTAAATTTCCCATGTCCTTTTTGCCTTTGGGCTCTGGTCGCCCATCTCAGGTAACCTATATCCTAGAAAGAGTTTGTCATAGTTTGTATTTGAGTCTTTGCGTATTGTTTGCATGACTCTTCCTGAGTTTCCGGTTCAAGCTCTTCAAACAGAGCTTGTCCATATGGAATAAGCTCGTTTCCAAATATATGTTTTTGTAGCCATTCTGGTTTTCTTTCCATGTTACCAACTATATCTTTGTGAATGGGAAAGCTTTTACCCAATCTTTCAGTCTTGCGTCGTTTATTTCTGTAGTTGGTTTTATTTTGTCAAGGAACATGTTTTTCAATACTAACATTTCATTTGGTACTGTCCATTTGAGTTTTCTTAAATATTCATCCCTTCTCAGTTCATTGTCTGCAAAGTAAGTTTTTATGACATTTTGTAAACTTTCGTTTGCAAGGTCATGTACAATAGGTTCTCTTCCTTCTCCCTCCCTAACTTTCTTTCTAAACTCTTCACCAAATATACCATCTCTATGGTTCTGTGTAGTTCTTTGAGATAAATGTTCTAGAACGTCAGGTGTTATATTCCATCAGCCATGTTCATTTCATACTGGTCCAAATATCTGCATGTTTCATATCTTTCAATGGCATTAAAGCCCGCTTTAAAATACCAGCTATATCTCGGTTCACCATGACTTCCATTGCGTCTACAACTTCTTGGAATTGAGGTTGTAAGTTTATGAACCACCTATCCGGGTTAGCTTTATGACCCCATCTCATTGTAGTTCCATCGTCTGCAGAAACAAAAGTAGGTTTGTTTCCATCTTGGTTAGGTTCTGAATGAACTTTAAACAATGTTTCATTTCTATATGTTTTGAAATTTAACCTTTTATTTTCACCGAGTTCATCCGAAGATTGAACGTTAATGCTCGTAAGTAAAAAGGGTTGTTGTATTTGTGTACATTTTCTTTCAGTACTTCCATTCTATGCTGAATATTTTCATCTGGTTTGGAGTCTTTTGTATGTCGGCAAACATTTTTCGATATTCTTCTACTATGTCAGCCCGAATTTTTTTTAGACTCTTGGAAATATTCCATATTCTCCGCATACTCTTGTTGAGGGTCAAGATTTTTCGGCTGTTCCAAATCTTCATCTAGTTCTGTGAAGTTAGTTTCCAAAGGAGTGACTTGTTCGTTTCCTTCAGGCTCTTCTAGCTGTTGTTGCTGAACTATTTCTTCCATGTCTGGTTGTATCTGAACTTCTTCCTGTGGAGTTTCTTGTACCTCATCTGCTGGCATTTCATATATTCCGAGACCGTTTTCAACAAGTTCCCTATCTAAGTCATTCGCATTCAATAGCCTTTGTTCTTTCGTTCCGTCTCTATTTTTTACGCGTTTAATGAAGATAGTTGAATTGTCATTTAGCTCTGACACCAAATATCTCGGAGTAAATTCGTTCATGTCATTTGGATGATATGCTATTAAATCATATCCCTTTGCGAGCTTGTATTTTCCAGGTTTGAAATTATATCCGATTTGGTGTTGAGCCATAAAGCTAAATAGGTTCGGGTCAGTATTTCCTTCATTGAACTTTCGAATAGCTTCTTTATATCTGTCACTAAAGTCAATAGTATCTGGGTAACCATAGTCTTCTTTAAGCATTTTTAAGAATTCTTGGTTTCCTTGTTCTCTACTTCTTTTATGTCCTTGCTCTGTTTGTGGTTGTTGTTGTGCAGGGTTTTGAACTGTTGGTTGCTGTGCTGGTTGTGGAGGTGGTTGTTGTGCTGGTTGTGGAGGTGGTTGTTGTGCAGGGTTTTGAACTGTTGGTTGTTGTGCTGGTTGTGGAGGTGGTTGTTGTGCTGGTTGTTGTGTTGGTTGTTGTGTTGGTTTTGGTGCATGCCTGTGTCTATGTCCATGTGACGATGTAAATGTTTTAGGTAGTCCTGGTGCAGGTTCTTCTCTTGGAGGGTTTGGTGTATAATAAGTTCCACCAGCTGGTATATAAGTTCCACCAGCTGGCACATATGTTCCATCTGCAGCGTAATGTCCTACCTGACTTTTCGTTTTTAAGAAAGCATTTACTAGTCTGTTTTGGTCTGTTGTAACTCTTTTTCTTGACTTTCCACAACAGTTGCTCTAACGGCGTCATAGGCACTTTGAACTGCCTGTCTCGTTGCTGCATCTGTTATTTTCGTCATATTTTGTGCTACTTCTCTTAACTTTTTGTCGAAACCTTCAGACTTCAGTTTCTTTCCAGATGAGAAGTCGTTCACTTGTTTCACCTTACTATGAAGAGCTTCGAAGGCGTTCTTAAAGTCAGCATTCGTTAAAGCTTCATTTGAACTGTCTTCATCCGCTTGTATTTTTGTCCTTATTGACCCTATGAGTTGGGCTGCTTTAGCGTTGGCTTGGGCATCTAACCAGTCATTGTTAGCTTTTATATATTCTGCGCTTTTCATTGCCTTTTGCATGGTGCGTCGTTATTTTTACTTTCTTGTGCTAAGTTTTCATACTGTACGGTTTGGTTTTGCAACTGTAAAAGTTTTTCTGCCTTTACATTTGCTTCAACTTCTTTTTTATACTCATCGCTATCCATATATGTCTTCAGGGCTTTTTGTTTTATCTCTTCATCTTTCAGTACTTTATATTGAGTAGTATGGTTTTTCAAATTTAAAACATCTTGTTCCATTTTTGCTACTTCTGCTGCTTTTTCTGACACTTTTTTCGCATATTGCTCTGTACTTAGTTCTTTCAGTTGTTCTTCTTTCTTCTTTTTCTCTACGTTTAACTCATTGAGTTTCTTTGTGTGTCTGTATATCTAGTTTCTTTTCGTTTTCACCTATTTGCTTCTGTATGTCTATGTTTGCTTTTTGACATCTGCTATTTGATTTTTGAGTGAACTCAAATTCATTTGACTTTGAGGGTTATAGGCTGTTCCGTCTGCAGCTCCACCATAGCCTGCCATTTTCGCTAAAAGTGCCGCTCTTAAACCTCCACTCTGTGCACCAACAACTCGGTTTAAAAGCATAGGATTGCTTGACATTTGTTGCAACATAGTGGGGTCATTCAGCATTTGTTGTTGCAACTGTTGTTGTGGTGTTAGTCTTACTATTGGATGTTTCAATGCTCTCTTCCTCTTACGTATATTCTTACGTAGCTTACGTGGCATTTTAAGTGAAGTTAAAAAGCGGTTTTATACTAAACATCTTCGGGGCTAGAGGGCACGAAGTGCCTGGAAGCCCCAATACCTTTTTTTTTATATATATATATTATTTTTCATATGTATAAATCATATAATCTATATCTATGCAAATCTCATCTAAAATTTTTTGAAACAAACCGCTACCATTTTATAATGGTCCATCTTAAATTCATCATAAATTCTGGTACATGTTAGTACCAGAGTCTTCAAATCTCAAACACTCTGGTACCAACATGTACCAGACGCGAGTTTCCAATGCCTCTGTACGATTTTCTAATTAAGATCTTCTTGAATGAGAAGGTCTTCATAGAAACTCGTACGAGAGCTTCTCTTTTAAATACTCTGGTACCTGCTGGTATCGGAGTCGACTTTACAGCCCTTTCCACAATTTTAAAGCTGGGGAAAGTTTTCAAGCAATGAAAGGGAAGCTCTCGCTATGAGGTGAAAATCTAGAATTTTTACCTCATAGCGAGTAATCCTTTGTTAATTGCTTGAAAACTTTCTTCAAATTATCAAAATTTCGAGGAAAGTTTCCTTGCTTCAAAGTAGAGATGGAGCCCATTGAGCCACTGCATATAGGTCAGTGACTCAAAATACTCCATCTCTACTAGAAATCGCCAAAATTTGGGTCGCAATCTTTGAAATGCGACGCAAGTTTTGGCAATTTCGCGAGGACTTGCTCCATTTGTGCATAGATTCACACTCTATGCACCAGATGGAACAATTCTTTCGCTGACAGCGGAAAACTTTGTCTGAATAGTTTAACATTCAGACAAAGTTTCCCGCTGTCAGAGAGGGAATGGAAGGGTAAGAGGTATATATTCATAATGTATACTCTTACTCTTCCATTCCCTCAAGAAAGTTCAAAAACTTGGGTGCAATCAGTTCTGATTGCACCCAAGTTTTTGAACTTTATATAAGGAATTGTTGGCTATGATGTACTGATCATGAATCAGTACATCATAGCCAACAATTCTACTTTTAACCAAAAGTAATTGATTCGTATGTAAAATATTAAGCTAAAATTTCTCTTTCTTTTAGTAACATTCTTCCATTTCGTGTACATGTATCATATATTAAGTACTAGTTATCTATTCTATATCTCTTTATCCCAATTTAGATACTCAAAGATAATTCTTTTTCAGAAGAAAAAAAATAGTTTCTATTAAACCGTTATTTTTTCAATGTGAGTTTTCAATTTTATTTTTCCTTTTTGCTGCTCAATG